CCGGTCACCAGGAGCCCCCCAGCCACGGCCTCCTCCAGGCAGGGTGTGCCAGGGACCTCCCAGGGGCTGGAGTAGGCCAGCGTGAGCACGCAGTTGCGGTGGCCCCGGAGCTCCAGGGACGCCTGCCCCTCGTCCACAGTCCAGACGCGAGCTGTCCGGTCGTAGGAGCTGCTGAAGAGCTGGTTGTTGGCAACGAGGATCCTGGTGCAAGAGGGTCAAGGTTAGGGCCAGGATGCCCACGGCTCTGGCGGGCTGCCTTGGCACTGCAGCTGGACAGCCTCCTGCTCTCTGCCTGCCGACACCCTCACCTGCCAACACCCTCACCTGCCAACACCCTCACCTGCCGAGGTTCAGCTCAAAGCCCAATTCCAAAATGCCACCAAGACCCCCTGGGACGCCCCCTGACGGAATCCCTTCCCTGCGCAGAGCCACCTGCTGGCCTGGCCTCCACCCACAGCAGGGACCAAGGCTCCGACTTGGACCCTTCCAACTCTCCACGCAGCTCCGCACAGTCATGAACGAGGGGAGTGGAGATGGGGACGGGGAGGTGGGGTGCCACCCTTCCAGTTTGCCCAGAGCTGAAGGGTTTCTGGGGACACAGGCCTTCCCATTTAAAGTCAGGAACTAAGAGGACCAGCTGGCCACCTCGCTGCAGGGCCACTGGAGAGTGAGAGCTCTGGAGAGGCTGGCGGCTGAGGAATTCCACACGTCCACCCTGACACTGGCTGCAGGGTGCCCAGGGGTGACAAGCTGCAGCCGGCAGGTGGGCCCCTGTGTCAGCTATCACGGTGGCCCCATGCAGGTGACACTGCAAGCTCCAGGTCACAGCCCTGATGGGTTTCCTGGCACACAAAGGGCCGGGGAGCAAGGAGAGCCTTTTCATGCAGTGGAACTGGCCGGCCTCAGGACAGGAGGGGAGGCCTCTGGAGGCAGCAGCCATGATTTATGGTCATTTTGCTGAATGCTGAGAAATTCTTTCCAGAAAAACACCGTTTGTCTTTGGTTCAGAACCTCACACGTAACTTCACAGGGCCTGTTTACACGCCAACTTTAAGCCCTGTGCGCCAGCCACAAAGGCCTGAGGCCATGCCTCTAGTCTGAATGGGGCATCCCTGCAGGCGTGGGACCAGGACCTGCCAGGGGTCAGGACCCTTCCTGTCTCAGGACCTGAAGGGGGTGGCCTTGGGGTGCTGGGGCGGGTAGCTGATTCCTGCCCCAGTTGGCACCGGGGAGGGATGCCAGGCCACTGAAGGGTCAGTGTTCCCAAAGCTCACACATGGCCACTCTCTGAAAACATGGGAGGCAGTGATCCCAGGTGCTCACTCGTGGCTCTCACCCACTGGACGCACAGTTACTTAATCACGCAGACCTGAGCCGTGGGTTGAGCACAGCCTCCGATGGACAACGGGGGGTGTGCATGTTTGTGCACATGGTGCGTGTCTGTCTGCAGGGTACACACTGTGCGTGCATACCTGCACGTGTGCATAGGTGTGCATGTGCTGGGTCATGTTTGTGTGTCCATATGACTGCATGCTGCATGCCTGTGTACTTGAGTACATGTGTGTGCGTGTGTGCATTGTATGCACGCACAGGAAACTAAACCAGGCAGAGCGTAATTTCCACCTCTACTGTCTAGCGCTCCTTCTGAGTCAGCAGCCTGAGCTGGTCCCTGAGGGCATGGCCTCCCCCTGACCCCTGTCATGGCCTCCTCACATTTCTTCAATGACATCTTCTTCCTCAGGATAGAGTGCTCAGAGCCAGCCTCGCTGTAAGACAAGGCCTGGGTTCTCCTTCCAGCCTCTCCTCTGCCACGTCCCTCTGCTGGCAGTGGACAGGCCTCCCACCTCAGGAGAAGGAGGGGACAACTCTGTGGTGCTGGAGGCAGGGCTGGCATCCCACGCGGGGCCTCCAGATTGGCCCTCCCACTGCCCACTGCCCACAGCCACACCAGCTGGTCCTTCTCCTCAGGGGTGCTGCCTGCACACCCTGGCGGCCAGCTGCTCCCACTGTGGCTCTAGGTCTGTAGCAGCTGGACTGTCCGCCTTGCTCCTCTTTCCCACCAGCTGCTAGAAGCCCAAGCAGTGGCCTGGGTCCCTCTGGCTGTGCACCTCCTCTCCTCTGGGCCTGCCCGGCCCCTCCCAGGCAGGGCCCCTCCTGCCCACGTGGCTGAGGGCCACGGTGCCAAGTCTCTCTGAATCAGGCCTGACCTTGGGAGCCTGGGCACCCATCACAAGTTAAGCAAACAGTATCAAATTGATCTGATCAGCAGGGGAGTTTCCCCTGCTCAGCTCCAACCCAAGTTCAATAAGGAAAGGAAAAGTCAAACTTGAGCAGGGGAGGTGGAGACTTCCCACAGCCACATGGAAAGGCGGGGCTCAAAAACATCCCGACTGCTTCTTCAGAACAATCTGCATGTCTCCCCAACCCTTGGTCCACCATCAAGTATCAGTTCAGCGCTTTCCTCCTGGTCCCCATCTGTGGACACTGGAGCTCCAACACCTCTCCTGGCACCCAGCAGGTGTGGGCATGTGCCCAGCCCCGGAGTGGGGGCAGACAACGCCAGTGTTGGTGATGCTCTTCCTCCTCCAGACCCTGCACGGCCCTGGACAGAGCCCTCAGGCCAGGGTGCACCTCTGTCTTGGGTCTCCCTTGCTGGGGGCTACTGTCCACACGGAGTTCGCTAGAGAACCTATGTTCCCCAAGGGCCAGGCCCTATGACTCTGTCCCCCTCAGCCTGGCCAGGGACCCCCAACAAGACTCAGCCCAAGCCCCCAGGCCAAGCTGACCTGTTCACGATGGACGTGTGTCCTCGGTACACCTGCAGGCACTGCCCGGTCAGCACGTCCCACCTCCTGATGGTGCAGTCGGCGCTGCAGGTGAAGGCAGCCTCCTCCTCCAGCTGGCAGAAGGTGACGTAGCTCTCGTGTCCTGCAGAGGAGGGGAGAGGGCCCGGATGGAGCTCCTGCTTCTCTTCCAGTGAACGGGACCTGCATTCTCCACTCACTTACCTGGGTATGTCCTCCCACCTGTCCACGCCTCCATTCCCTCGCCTGAAATGGGAACAGCGTCAATGCCCACCCCGCTGACCACTGTGCAGACTGAGTTTCAGTGGCAGCCTCTAGCAGATGCTGCGTGTTGGTTTCCTCCTACACTCAGGCAGAGATACTGTGGTAAGCCTGGGGTCCCCAGGTTGCTAGGTGCTGCACACGCCTTGGAACCTGTCACCTGACTCAGAAAAGGCCCTTTGCAGATATGATTAAGTTGGGGAACTGACTTGGGGAGGCTGTCCTGGATAATCTGGGTGGGCCCTAGATGCTGTCAGAAGCATTCTTATAAGAGAGGGAGAGGGCTGAGGGCAGTGGTGCCCACCTGTAATCCCAGCAGCTTGGGAGGCTGAGACAGGAGGATTGCAAGTTCAAAGCCAGCCTCAGCGAAAAGCAAGGCGCTAAGCAACTCAATGAGACCCTGTCTCTAAAGAAAATACAAAATAGGGCTGGGGATGTGGCTCCGTGAATGAGTGCCCTGAGTTCAATCTCTAGTACCCTCCCCCACCAAAAAATAAGAGGGAGAAGGAGATTTGACACACCAAAGAGAAGAAGGCCATGTGGGGGGCAGAGAAAGCAGCCTACGTGGCCACAGAAACGCCAGCCTCCACCAGACACTGGAAGAGGCAAAGAAAAGATTGTCCCCTACAGGTTTCAGAGGGCATATGGCCTGCTGACCCCTTGATTTGTCCCAGGGACGCTTACTTCAGGCTTCTGGCCTCAGGAACCGTGCAGGAATAAAAGGCAGCTGTTCAAAGGCACCAACCATCTCCAAGGCACTGCCATAATACGGGGACGAAGAAGACACACTTCAGCCTTCCAAGAGCGCCCCCAGCCCAGAAGGAAGGTCATCGGGTGAGGCCTGTGGCCAAGGGGCTCAGCAGGGACAGTGGCTGAACCAGCTTCCCCGGGGCAGAAGCCTGAGTGCTAGGGCCAGAGGGTCTACACGGGGAGATGGAGTCAGGGACAGCAGACGGACTTGGGCTGGCCATGCTGGGGACATGTGGAGGCTCTCACCAGAATGTAGGGGCCTAACAAAAGTGGCCCAGGCAGCTGGAGTAGCGTGAAGCATGGAGGCCAAGCAGGGGCCCAGGTCTGGCCCTGTGCACCCCAGCCTTGGCCAGCTGGCCTGCATCCTGCCCTCAGGGGACCTGCTAGGTAGTGTGATGACCCCCGTGTTCAGGCCGAGCCATTGTCAAGCAGGCCTGGGGCCCTCGGGGGATTTGCCCAGGATGATGCCAGTCCTTCAGGTGCTTCCACCTGGGAAAACAGCTGTTGAAAACGGGGACATCTGAGAGGAAATCAGGGGCCCAAATCAGCAGAATCAAAGGAAGGTCCCACACAGGGGGGCCAAGGAGTTAAAGCACTCACGTATTTGGGGGGTGCACTTATTACATTAGGATCTCATTTTAAAGAATTTTTAAATCTTATTTTAAATTAAATTAAACCAAGAAAAGCACGTATAAACCAGATCCGGTTAGTGAGCGGCACGATCTTTACTCCAACGAACTACAGCCACCAAACCAGGGCTGCCAAAGACCCGGAATGGTTTGATGATATTTTAAAACCTGGTTCAGCTGGCTGGGGCCCGGCAGACAGGGACGTCAGGGTGCTGTTAAGCTCCTTCTTTCTTTTCTTTTCTTTTGCCCTGGGCACAGGCTGAGTTACTTTTGGAAGAAGTCAACTTCCTGGGTTCTAAGAAACAGAATTTTTTTTTTTGAAAAAAGAAAAGTTTTCCCGTCTTCTTGGAGCACACACACCACGCTGCTCCGAAAACAACGTAGGAATTAAGTAAACACTTGAAGAAGTGGCAGATAATGTTTCCCTTAAAAGACACATCGGCGAAAAGTCGAGGGCAAAGCGGGTTTGGCCAAACACAGCCAGGTTCTCGCCAGCTCCACAGAGTTTGTAAAGTCCTTTCAGACTGTCAACAAACTTTCCCTAAGACGAGATTGTCCCAGTCTTCCTGCTGCCACCACGGGGGATGGGTACAGCCCCCAGGCTCAGGGTCCCCGAGGGCCAGGAACACCCCAGGATGGAAGGGCAGTCAAGGTCACCGGGGCTGCACACACCAGCCTGTGGGGGAGCCACAGTCCAAGGCCCCCTGAGGACCCTGGACACAGCCAGCTGAGGCCAGAGGGAGGCTGAGGCATTGAGCCAGCTGCTCCCCGACCATCAACGTGGCAGGAAGGCAGAGGGCAGGGCGAGTCCAAATTAACCCCAGGTAAGAGCCCAGCACAGCCGGTGAGCAAGGGCACCTGCGCTCAGGCCACCAGACCAGGACTGCCGCAGACCTGAGGTGTGGGCCAGCCTTCTGATGGCGGAAGGAAAAAAGGGACAGAAACACAGACTGCAGATCCGTAAATATGTAAATGCACGCGAAGAAGATGGGAGGAGACGGGACTGAAAGGGCCCAAGTGCTTTTGTTGCCTTTGGGGTTTTTGTAGGGCGGGGGGCTCTCCACCACTGAGCTACAGCCCAGCTTCTAAGGTTTTCAATGTAAAAAACCTCTGAACCCGAGCCAGGCTGACCAATGCCCCGGGTCATCTGCCTTCCGCCAGCAGAGGCTGCCACAGTGGTCAGGTCTGCTGTGAACGAGCCCCCTCCCAACACTCACCCCACATCTGAGAGCTTGGGTCCCACGTCAGAGCCTGCCAGCAGAGGGGCCTGGGACGCGCTGAGCACACCCCGCAGCGGCGCCACTCTGCTGTGCGGCCCTGACCCCCTTGACCAGTATTCCACAGACCCAGGCCTGAGGGGTCACCCCAGGGGGCAGGAGGAAAATATGCACACCAGATCCCAGCCCATCATACCCCCAGGGACCTCAGTGCCTTGGCCTTCAGCTGTTGGAATTACGCAGAATAAGCAAAAAACGCCAAGCTAAAAATAAATATTTTTGAAGGATGAAGAATGCAGATAAGATGCAGCTATTATGTTCAAAAGAACACACTAAGGTCCAGGGTTTTTTGCCAAGGTAGCAGCCCTTCCCACCTCCCTGAGCACCCACATGCTGACAGGAGTCTGGGGGCCAGCTGCTCTCTCCCTGCTCCGTGAAAGCAGCCCAGAGGCCCAGCTGGGGACCCCCACCTGGCGTGTGCCCTGACTGTGTGAAAGGAAGCCTTCCGTCCTCAGTGTCCCAGCACTAAACCACAAAGCAACCGGCCACTCCAGCAGCCACCAGGCGATAGGGATGGCACTGTGCTCTTGACATTACCCAGCTGTCTGTGGCACCTGTCCACTGGCCAGAGCTAACTGTCCCTGTCCTTGAGTCGTGGACTTCAAGGGAGTCCTAGCCTCCCATTTCCAGATGGGTGCAGATACCCACGGTCCTTGCTCAGGAGGTGCTCTCCTTAGCCCTGACCCAGAGGGCCTGCAGGCTGACTGTACCCCTCTAACCAAGCCACCCCATCCTGCAGAAGTCCTCTCTACAGCTGTCTGGAGGCAACTGTGCCCCCGCAGAAGAGGAGGCAACAGCCCCGTTGGTACTTGCACTGTGCCCAGCCTCTCTAGCATCCTTCTCTTAGACGCTCTTGAGTTACCTGCTCCTGGGGGCCAGGCCCCCACTCACACAGCCATAGGGCCTCATGTCCTCTGGGGTGAGGCTGAACACAGACGCACAGGGCTGCGGCTGAAAGGAACACGGACAAAGCCACTGGTAGTGCATCTGCCAACCCCCGCTGGGGACCCAGGGCGGCTGCAGCCTGGGCCTCCTGGACTGCTGTGGTGGGATCAGGCCCCCCGGCCCACAGTTGCTGGCCAGGCTGCCCACATCTGGTCACCCATGTGCAGCAGGGCTACTCCTCCCAATGTCGTCTGCAGCCAGGCCATGGCCCTCCCACAACCTCCCCCAGGCTCTCCTACCTCCCTCTCTGCCTCAACTGGCACCCCCAGGGCGCCCACCACCCCGACAGTGGTCTCCAGAGCGCTGGAGGATGAATTAAGCACGGGTCTTGTACCTCACACAGACTGCGTTCTATGGAATTCCCCCTGACCCAGGCAAAGCGGGTGTTGTTCGTGTTCGAGCGCCTTCCCAGCGAGCCCCTGTGCCCTTCTAAACATTGTGTCTGAGTGGTATGCACAAGGAGAAGTGCACCTCGTCTCCTCAGCCAGCTTCCTGCCCATTCCACCTCTTCTGCTTTCCCTGGTCCTCTGGGAGTCTCACCTCATGCCTTTGCTTCTGCTCTACCTGAGGCCCAGGCACCCTCTTCCCCTGAACCCATCAAACATGACCCTGGCTCATGGAACACACTGGGAATAGCAGGAAGTGTGTGGAGTAGCCACGTGGCCTGGAAACGGCAGGCTTAGTCCCTTACTCAGCAGGAACTGCGCAGGACAGGTACGGCTGTTTTAGGAAATGCAGTTCATCTCTTTGATCCAACAAAGTGCTCCCAAGAAGTAGACACCCACTGCATAAAGTGAAAAGGAGAGGGCCCGCGGATAACTTCAGTCCCAGCAATTCTCTTTACAGAATAGCTGGTAATTAAGCCTTCTTCTTCACTGTGAGCTCATCAACTGCATTGGAGAGCCCAATTCCATTAAGAGTTGAACGTGAGCTGAGTGTGGTGGTGCAGGCCTGTAACCCTAGCAACTCCAGAGCTCAGGCAGGAGGATGGCAAGTTCAACGCCAGCCTCAGCAACTTAGTGAGGCCCTAAGAAATTTAGTGAGATCCTGTCTCAAAATAAAAAATAGAAAGGGCTGGGGAAGTAGCTCAGTGACAAAGCACCCCTGGGTTCAATCCACCTTCCTCCTACACACAAAAAAAAGAGGTAAACATGGGCATATGAGGGGGGCCCAGCAAGCCAGTTCTGCAGGTCTGCAGCTCTTCTGGGGCCCCTAAGAGCAATGACAATGACCCCAGAAAACCCGTACCCCTCAGAAAACAGCCCTCGCTCTTTGTGCCCATTCCACCCCTTGATCCCAGATCCCTCAAGCTCTGAATACGGAAAACTTCTTGGTCCCCTGACCACCCTCCGCTGCTGAGAATAAAACAAGAAGCCCCTCTTCAGAGGAAATGCTCATGGCACAGTCACCAACCCCAACCTTCTGCCCAAGAAATCCAGCCACGACCAACTGACAGGTTTTAATTTGGAGGCTTCTATAAGCTTATAGCTGCACAAGGGGCTAGCCCCGGGCGGGACTGGAGATATGCCTGGATCTGCAGGCGGCACTAAGGACCAGGGCCCCTCTGCTTGCCACCCAGCCTGGGCACAACTTCCCCTGCGTGGTGCCCCAGTACAGGTTCAGCCTCACAGCGGGAAGAAGCCCTCTCTGCCTTGAGCCAGCCGTGAGACTGGGACAAGTCTGGTAGCACACTGGACCTTGGGGGTGTTGAAGACAGCACCCGCCTCACGGGGCAGAGTCTGGAAATCACTGAGGGGCTCTGTGTGGGGGTAAATATGTCTGCGAGGACTAACCACACAATACAGGACACACAGACGTGCATCTATAAGACTTAAAGAATGAAACAAATGTCCAGACATCTTACTAGTCTCTCACCCAGACCAAAACAGACTCTTCAGGAAGAGGGAGCGAGCAAGACCTTGCTTTAGTAGGTGAGCACACAAAAGAACTACAACACGTTCCTGTAATTCTTGAGAGTCGAATCAGTAAAGTAACCTCTCAAGATCGAAGATACTCCATCCCCTCTGTCCTCAAAAAAAAAAAAATTTGAAATGTCAACCTTAATAAGAGCGAAATCAGCCCTTGTAGGAATGGGCTACGGTCCTTTAATTCAACAGCTCTCTGCTTCGGTGGGGATGGCCCTCAATGGGGACAGGTCAGGCACCCCTCATGGAAAGTAGATAAGCAGCTCTGGGACCACCAAAGTGGGTGTGAAGCCAAAAGTCCAGATGCCCAGCACAGAGCTAAGCACAGGGTGGGCCCTGGAGGCTACAAGGCTGCCCTGGGACAGGCCCGTGTCCACCAGACCAGAACCAGCCTGGAGAAGCTCACCTAGCAAGTGGAGTTCCCCCAAGGCTCGCTGGCCTGAGGGCTCCCCAGGCTGGCTGAACATGAGGGCCACCAGAAAGGCCACTACAAATGCTCATTCTGGGGCTTTACTCATGGGGAGTCACTGGAGTCCAGGCCTCAGACTGCATTTCTGAAGCCTCCTCCAAAGAGTCTTACATTTGAGGATAGATACAAGTTGGGTTTAAATTTTCTGACTGATCTCAGCTCTTCCATTTCTAGGTGAGTGCCTCTGTTTGGGAGGAGTGTGTGTGTGTGTGTGTGTGTGTGTGTGTGTGTGTGTGTTTGAGGCCATCTCTTCATTATCCATACCAACTCCCAAATAACCGTTGATCCAAAATTCATTCCTATTGGGCTTTGAAATCTCTACCTTAACTTGTTTTTAACTTGAAAACAGCAGTGTCAGGATCAGCCAGTTTGGAGGCTAACATCCTATCTCAGCTGGAAGGGCTGGGTGGGGCCACCCAGGATTTGCTGATTATGGCAGAAAAGTCCACAGTGATAAAAAAAAAAAAAAGAGCTACACCCCCTGGTGCAGGAAGTCTAAGGCCTTGTGAAAGTTTGTCAGGGGGACTGCCCAAACTATGCAGCAGCCTGGCAGCCAAGGTAGAGTGGGACCTCACACACAGTTCAGAGGCCAGGCCCTGGAAAGGCCCAAGATGGGGTAAACCCAGGGCCCACTCTCCCAGAAAGAGTACACACACAAACCAATAGCTATGCGGTTGCATGGGACTATGTTTACATTACTAAGGGAAGGCCTCCTGATATTTCATCTCCTCCTCAAATATGCAAAACAGATTGAACGACCACCCTGACCAATCCCACTCCTCACCCTTCCTTTGCAGCAACTGGAAAGAGGCCTTAGAGAGCTTTGCAGGGTGGCCGCAGGGAAGGAGTTCAAATTTCAAGTCGACCCCCACTGCTTGAGCTGCTCTGGGCAAATTAACACAATGGGAAGATGGCACTGTAGCTGCACACCACCGCAGCCGCGCCCCCAAAACCCCTTTTGTTACCAAAATGCCCCAAATAGGAAAAGTTGGCCAAAGGTCACCAGATCATCTAGCGACCTGGAAAGATCTGCTTAGCAGGAGCAAAGGTGCGAATTCTTTTGTTTGCTGATAGTGTTGGAAAGGTAATGATTTCAAGCAGCCAGCGGACAAGTCATCTTGCCTGCGCGGTGGGCGCCCCTCTGCCCACCGGGCCCCACCCGCACCGTCCCACCCCAGCATCTCCTCTCGCCTGGTCGGGCGCTCACGGGTCGGGCGCTGGGCCCGGAGGAGCGCTCCTTCAAGAAAGTGAGGCGATGGGCTGGGCCGGACTTTTTGAGGAAGGGTCTGAGAATGAACTTGCTGAGACCCACGGTCTGGGGCTGGGGGCGGGCGACTAAGAAGGCAGGCAGGGGTCGCGGGCGCGCCGCCGTCAGGTCTACCTTGCAGGAGCGCGCAGCACCGGCCGTCCGCAGTGCTCCAGAGCCTGGCCGTGCCGTCCTCGCTGCCGGTCAGCAGGCGCTGCCCATCCGGGCTCAGGCTCAGCCAGTTGATGCCCCCGCGGTGATCCGCGCAGACCCTCAGGGACGACCCGCCGCCCCCCATCCCGCCGGCGGGGCCGGGGACTAGGAGCAGCTGGCTCCGCTAGGGAGGGGCGCTCCGGCGTCCTGCAGCGGCTCCGTGGGGCCGTGTCCGCCCGCGGCCATCCCGGGGTCCCGGGCGCCCGACTTCTGCGGGGGCTCGCGGCGCCCCGGGGTCAAGTCAGAGGCCCAAGCGTCCCCGCCGCCCACCGGCCTCCGGCAGG